CAATTGTGGATTGATCGGATCAGACTTTGTATATCGGGGTGTCGATTCTCAATACTTTTGAATGGGCGACCATGTGGTTTCTTTTCTTCACACAGGGACTTTGACAAGTAGTTCATATCTCTCCATCATTATTTATTTTTCTGCGGATTACTTTTCTCGATTACTTACTCAGAGGTTTTAGATATATAGCGACCCGGGTCCCACTTAACGGGCTGTCCCGACCATTAGATCGATGACGTACTATCCCCACTGTACCAAAATGGGTCTTTTCAGCATGCTTTATCCTCACTCGCACGCTCCCCAAGAAAAATTCCCATGAGGTCACTCATCAAAGAATTGCTCCAAGCCAAGCACGCTTAACTGTAGAGTTTCTAACGATGGACTTCCGAAAAGGAAGGTGCACATTGATGGTATGAGTAGTACCTATCAAATCTTTTAAGCTTTCCTGGTCTGGGTATTACAATCACTCCCCCGTTAGACATGCAATATCCTCATCGTGCTTGATCCATCTAAGGATCCATTGCTACGCTAAAGGATTCTAGAGGTGGCTCCTGCCCTATGGTGTAGCACTTTGTCCCGCATAGCACTTAGTTCCCGATTTCTGACTGGCAACCGACCTCTGATACCCTTTGTAGCTACCCGAGTCCCACTTAATGGGTTGTCCCGACAGTTAGACAATGACGTACTGTCCCTACTGTACCAACATGGATTTTTTCAGCATGCTTTATCCTCACTGCACGCTCCCCAAAAAAACTTCCCAAGGGGTCACCGATCAAAGAATGGCTCCAAGCCAAGCACGCTTAAGTGTAGAGTTTCTAACGATGGACTTTCGAAAAAGAAGGTACACCTTGACGGTATGAGTAGTACCTATCAAATATTTTAAGCTTTCCTGGTCTTACAAGACATATCCTAGTATGCAGTATCAATAGGAAGGTAGTACTCTTGTCTCTCATCTTGCTTTTATATGATTATATTTACCAATGGACAAAGAAGTCTATTAGAAATGTCATCGATTGTTTGGAGCACTACGAGGGGGTCTCTGTCCAATTGGTGAATAGAGACAAGAGTGGTCTTATATTGCCTAGGCGGGCATCTAATATTCAGATATAGAGGTTAGTGAATTTGACTGGATTTTCACATCAAAGACAACCGTTCACATATCTCGGAGTCTCTATGTTT